CACACACACACACACACACACACACACACACACACACACAAAGGTCTTAATGGATTTGCTTGCATCATAGCGGAGTACAATGCTTGTCTAAAGAGCCCTACTTGAACAGCGCAGCTGGCACAAATACTCACGACCAATCATCGCTCAGATTAGTATGAGCGGCCCACCCCGCCTCCTCACCCCACCCCTTACCCCGCTCCAGACGACTTTCAGATATTTTACACTGTGGCCCAAAGTCCTCTCTTTCTGTTCTCCTTCATGTTTCAGGTCACATGCTCTGACTCATTATTCACATCAGCAGTTCTTCAGTGGCTTCAGGTTGCGAATCGTATTTAAGAAAAATAAACCTGCGTTCTTTGCTTTGCCAAATATATTGTCTCTGCTTAGGCTCCATCATCTGCCAAATCCTTAAGAATACTGAGGGGTGAGCTGGATAGCAGGGACTATTACTTTGTCCCACAGAGAAACTTTCTGTCTTCCCAGTCATCCTCTCACCCACCTAAATATTGCAAACCAAACCCCACCCTCCCCACACCATCATGGTAGTTGTGACTGCCCCCAGCGGGACAGCACAACCAAGAATTGCAGATAGATTTAGTTTTGTTCCACTCTGCTAAATGAGGTTATAAATGTATTTCTTGAGGAGCGGCAGCGCTGTGGCTGCTTTAGCTTCCCTCAGGATATTACGTCATCTGACGCATGTTTTTTCCCCTCTAACTTTCAGAGGAAGCATCTACTGTCCCACTATCTCTGACCGTGTCAGAATACCTAATGATTCACTCTAAGATTATATCGTCACATCCTGTTTCCTTCACCACATCAGCCACAACAATGGCTGTACAGGATACTGTAGCCCATAAAAGCTGCCTCACAGAAGAAAGATCGCATTACATCAGTTTTCCCCACATCCCCTAATGCAGCACACATGACTGCTGCAGGAAGGTTCCCTATTTTATTCTGTCTATTCATGTTTTGTGCGTGTGTGCGCGTGCGCCTCACACCTGTTGCATCTAGCACCAGAGGTATTATGCCTGCTCTTTCCAACCATGAAGCTGTGCTGATTGTTAAGATGTTCTGCTGTATTGAAAGCGTGCGGTTTTCAGAAAATTATTTGTCCGTGTTTGAAATGTTGTCTGCTGTGTAGACTCACAAGTTTGTTTTATCAGAATCGGCTTGTTTGGCCCAACGTAAGTCTGTCTTTTTACCTTTTGACCTTTTAATTAAATTCAAAGTCTTGACCAAATAATATAAGAGTCTGGACAGACATCATAGTGATAATCTACAGGAGGTTCTCATGTGGTTTGTATTTCTGATTTCACCAGACAATTAAAGTCTAGTTTACTTTCTTTTTTTTCTTGTTTTAAGCTGATGTCTCATTTATAATTGTTAAACCATCTAAATAAGTAACCCTTTAGAGTACTGGATTGTCAGACGGGAGACAACCCAGAGTTTTTGGGGTCGGCCTAAACGATGGAGACTATCTATTCTGTGTGTTTGACTAAATGCTAAAAATCTTTGTCCAAAATAACTGCGCAAAGCTGGCAAGTTTTTGGAAAAACCCTGGCCTGGGACATTTCTAGATTATGAAGAGGGAAAAAAAGGTTTCAGAGCATAGCTGCTGCACTGACCTACGCAGTAAACACGTTACGCGCTAGTGCAGGCGTCTGTTTTGTAGAAGAGGTGGGCGGGTACACATCTATGATTAATAAGAGTGTGATGAGGGTGGGATGTTTATGCAACACTTTAAAACACATACAAGCACATGATAATAGTCTTTGGCTAAAGGAAATGGCCAGTACTGTCTCAGCCTGGCTTAAATTAAAGAATCGCATGATAACGAATATCTGTTTTCAAACTCACAATATTTTCAGGATAATTGTGACGATGCAGGAAAAATCTGAGCGACCTTTTATTGCAGTTTGCAGAGCTTCTTCTTCTTCTTCTTCTCCTTCTCCTTCTCCTTCTCCTTCTCCTTCTTCTCCTTCTTCTCCTTCTCCCTTCCTTCCTACTTGGGGGGGGAAAAAAGCCACGCTGTGGGTGGCACTTTCTAACCAGCTGGTTAAAGCCCTGCTTTACCTCCATATTACTGCATCAGTGATTTCCATGCACTGTTT